TATCACCCAAGGCATGGGTATCATACACTGGAATAAAACAGCATTTATTGTTCACTTTGGTGTGAAACCACAGTTCCAGCCAGTCCAAGCTTCTAAAAAATTAATGGTGGAAATAAAACATGCTGAATTATATCATCCAAGTCATGCCTTTTTTTTTATTTTTGGCATTGCCTTGGAACTGGATTGGCAGTAACTCTGATTTGCACTTTTGAGGCCAATGGATGCTTTCCTTTGCTGAAACTCACCCCCTTTAATGGCATTCACTCAGCATTGCTCAAAGATCATGTGGACTTGCAGACAGTTTTTAGAAAAGAGCAGGACACTGAAGATGTTGAAATCTTTTTCGGATAACTCACCAAAGGTATCTACTCCAGAAGATTTTGTCATCTGTAGGACTGCTATGCTGTGGATAATAACAACCTTTGGATTTGTTGATGCAGTAAGTTGTTGAACTACTTTTACCCCTTTTCTGAGACTTCCATCATGGTTAGCGAGTGAATATGCAACTAAAGACAGTTCAAAGCTCAGCTCAGCCTGCCAAACAAGTCCCTGTTGGGGTTAACAGTAATTAGCTCATTAGCAGATTTGACTCCAATCTTCTTATTTACTTTGCTGGACGTTTGGATCTTAATGTTTGGAATCGGTTCCCAGAAACCCACAGAACTAATATTGATTCACTTGTCAACAAGGTTATTCATCTGCTGCTGGCCTATCTAGATACTGCAAATAAGGTTTTGGGCCACATCTTCTGGCAGAACAACTCCAGTGGTGATGAGAAGGAGTATGTCCAAATCAAAGGATCAGTCAAGAGACCTACAGAAAAGCAGCCCATCATCTTCTCGATGTCTCCCTCATGTTGGTTAATTCTTATCAGAACTGCTTCCTTTTGTGTTGTATGAGAACCATCTTGGAGCCCATACAGGACTTTTAAAGCAGAAGTAATAGATGAAAAATCATTCAAGAGCTGATGGACTATGCAATATGGGGATCACTACTCCTTTTAACTTGGAGTCAGTGTTGATCAACAGCTCAAGGGCAATATCGGTGGAAACTTGTGAAAAGGGCTGTCCTGTACAATTTATGGAATGATTCCCTGCATTAAAATCATCATAGACATCTAGGTGTGTTAGTTCCAGTTGCTGCATGTTGGCGAGGTAAACAGGTAAGTAGGGAATGTACTTCTGCCTGTCCCTGGCAATGAAGTAAGTTACCATTGCTGCAATGCTAAATAGGTGTAGCTTCCAGTTCCTAGTTCTTTCTACCTTAAGAAACCATAAAAGAGAAGTAACAATGGAACTGTACTCAACCCAGAAAGTGAAGAGCTTGGACCTTGCTTTATTCTCTGATTTGAATACCTTGAAAAGAGAGATCAAATCAGTCAAATCTGCTTTTATCATTCCCAAGCTATTGTGAGCATTCTGCTCCCCCTGTTCTCCACTGCTTGAATGCAATCTCCAATCTTAAGTAATATGGGTTCTCCTGGGATCTTCCTACCTGAGACATACACCAGACCACAAATGTATTCCACAGGAGATGCAAGAATACCTCTAGATGAAGCTTGAGTGATCTGAGAGCAGATGTTGAACCAGCAATGTATATGCCTGATTAAATCAATAGTACTTAAAGTCCAGAATCCCCATACTTTTTCCCTAGCAGGGAGGGAAAATTGAAAGCAACATGAAATCTGCCCATTTTTACAGTAGCATTAGAACATTCTTCAGGAGTTCTCCACTGAATTTCCTTTGCCTTCTTAAATATCCCAAGGTTACGGGTTATAACAGTGTTGCTTGTCCCATAGCAGCTCATATCTTCTGTGCATGTTTCAGCACTGTGTATGTTGTAATATAGTCATACTGGCTACTGTCCAATGATTCAGCGATCATTGGACAGTAGCCAATATTTCTGAATCTGGTCATTTCAGGGTAGAGAAATGCATTGAATCCTGCCCAGCTTGGAATCACTTGCTTGTTTACTTCTTCTGCCATGAATGCTGCTAGACTCTCTGTTCCACAATGAAACTATAAATACAGTATTTTCCTTTGATACATACAAAGGGTTTGAGATGGGAGAGAAGAAGTGTGAAAAAAAAACTGGCATTATGTCAACCAGGTGACAGAAATATAATAATAACAATAATTTATAAACTTAAATAGATCATGTTACATGAAGTTGCATGTGCTTTACTAAAAATATAAACCAAATATGATAATATTAGCAGATAAAAATTTGCTTAAAAACTAAAATCCATTAAAAATTACAAGGATAAAATAGTATAAAAAATAGGCCTACCAGTAAAATCATGTAAAAATTAAAGTGGCTTCAAAATTACAGGATATGATAAGAATAGAATACTATTTATAATCTACAGACATCAGGGGAACACTAATTCAAAATAATGGTCTTACACAGACACTTGAAATGTCAACAGCTGGGGCTTTTTAAATATATGTCAAAAGCGAGTTCCAATTTTTGGGGCAGCCATGCTAGAAGAGAGATTGCC